CTGGAGATTCGCTGGCAATTTATTAGAGAATAGCGCCCTTGCGTTGGAATTTCTTGCAATTTGCTCAAGCGCCGCGCTCCCCAGGCACCCAAGAGTCGCGCCCGTTGTGGCCCCATGTGCATGCCCTGCGTGGCCCCGCTGTCGCCGTTTGTGGCCCCCTCACTGTCCTACGTGGCCCAGTTGTCACCCTCAGTGGCCCCATCGTTGCCTTCTGTGGCCTCGCATCATCAGCCCCTCGTGGATCCCGCTCGTTCGCGCTCTTCGTGGCCCCATACGCATTCCCTTCGTGTCCCCGCTGTCGCCCTTTCGTGGCCTAATTGGCCCTGCTGTCGTTCTCTCTCGCTCTCGCTTTCGCTCGTCGTCGCCGTCGTCGTCGTCGTCGCCGTCGTCGACGTCGTCGTCGTCGTCGTCATCGTGGTCGGTCCCCTGTCCGTCCCTCTTGGGGTCGGGTCGACGGTCCGTGGCCGCCCCGCCGATCAGCGCTGCCGCTGGCCATGCCGACGGTCCGCGACCGCCCCGCCGCTTGCCGGGGCCGGGCCCGCAGGGAAGAAAGGTATACCCTCCAAAAGGGGTTCGATCGAAGACGAAGAGGGCGGGCATCGAGGGTTTGGGAAATACGCGTTACTGGACACTCGAGCAGATAAGGGCGAGCAGTCTTAAAATGATCGATGTTGCTGCTGCTGTTGTTGTTATTGTTGTTGTTGTTGTTGCTGATGTTGGTGTCGTTGTCGTTGTCGTTGTCGTTGTCGTTGTCGTCGTTGTCGTTGTCGTTGTCGTTGTCGTTGTCGTTGTCGTTGTCGTTGTCGTTGTCGTTGTCGTTGTTGTTGTTGTTGAACATTATTTATTCTAAAGAATAATTATTGTTGGGCCCCCTGGTGCGCGCCCCCCCTGCGCCGCCTAGGCCGCAGCTACATTTTCATCATTTTCGTGAGGAAGCCTCAGGTAAAACGATGTGATCCAGATCCGGTTGTTTTGTTGTAATCCGTTTTCCCTTGCAAAAAACACTATAAAATGACATTTCTTGTTCTAATATAATCAAATTTCAAGAATCCCTTGCAAAAAATAAGGTAAAGTGGACATTCGCGCGCGCAAGACGAAATCCTTCCAAAAGCTTAGTGTTCGGAGCGATTTTAACATAAAAACATCAAAAAACCAATGGTTTTTCAACAAAAAAATGTCAAAATCTCATCCCGCGCGCTCTTGCGGATTCGTAGGAAACCCAACACTTTTTAAACATTTCTGTCAAACGGGCTTTTGCGAGCAACTTTTTCGAACTTCTGCGACAACGGTTGCGCACCTGCCAGGGCCATCATCCCTGTCAAATAATACCATGCGGGACACATTCGTTTTTTCTTCGCGCGCGCACGCCGTCGTCGTCGGCCGCGGGGCCCTGAATAGTAGCCACGGTCGTCCGCATGCCACGAAGTGAAGTGTCCGAACGTCATAGGGCGGGAAGCTGGGTGTGGGTGGTGGCGAAGAGTCGTTTGGAAATTTGGTAGAGCTTGAACCGGCCCCCCCACAAAGTGGGGGTATTGCCCGCCTCCTATGAAAACCCTGGCACTGGTGAGAACGGAGTGTCCCCACGTGCTAGTAATTGTTGTTGTTGTTGTTGTTGTTGTTGTTGTTGTTGTTGTTGTCATTGTTATTGTTGTTGGTGTTGTTGTTGTTGTTGTTGTTGTTGTTGTTGTTGTTGTTGTTGTTGTTGTTGTTATTGTTGTGGTTGTTGTTGTTGTTGTTGTTGTGTGTGCGAGCGTGCCAGAAGGAGGAGCAGGAGGAGGAGGAGGAGGAGGAGAAGGACGAGGAGGAGGGGGGGGAGGAGGAGATAGGCGGAGGAGGAGGAGGAGGAGGAGGACGAGGAGGAGGAGGAGGAGTTTTTTTTGTTGTGTGTGTGTGTGCGTGAGTGCCTCTCGTTTTCTCCTGAGGCCGTCTGTCTCGGAAGTGTTTTGGGGACTTCGATCCCCGAGCGCTTCCGTGCCCCTCGCGGGGCCCTCCTCGACCGTGGCTCACAGGGGCGTGGCGCTCGCCATGCAGCGGGGTCTTTGACCTCTTCCTTCGTGGGCAGCCGATCCGATCCGATCCCCGAGCGTCGCGCCACCCCGCGCGCAAGGCTCTGCCCATACAGGGGAACAAGGGATTGGGGCCATCTCCATCGCGAGGCCCTGCTCGCCAAGCACGTCAGACCGATGGCAGCGATTGACCGGGGCCTCAGTGGGCCCCAGAAACGGCAGGGCCGTTTTCGCACCGTTTTCGAACAAGTGTTTCTCGAAAACTGAAACGGTAAAAACAAAACGGCGACCAGAAATGTCAGAAAACACGACTTTGGGATTGGAGCCGGAACCGGAACCCGAAACAAAGCGGCGACGGAACCGGCAACACATACGGCGATGGACCTGACAATAAAAAAACGGCAAAACGGAGCCGGTAAAAATGCTGGCTTTGTCGTTCCCAGGGCCAACTAAGATTGATGCCATCTCCATCGCGAGGCCCTGCTCGCCGAGCACGTCGGACCGCACTGTCGTTTTTTCGAAATGGGCAGGGGGTTTGCGAGGTCTCGCCTCGTGTGTTCCTCGGGCGTCCACCGCACATCCAGGCAGAATCGGGCCCCCCCCCGAAGGTCTTCGTTACTTGTTCAGTGCCCCGTGTGGCGTACGGTAAGACTTTGGCTCCAGTTCTCCTTCCTCGTGCGGTCTCGGGCGGAGAGCATACTCGTACCTGCGGCCTCGCGGTCCAGACCCCTCGGCCGCGACCCCGTGGATACAGGACGGCCCTGCGCGGATGCTCCGCGCGGAACGCATCAACGGAGTCGCTCATCCATGGGATCGGGCTTCGGCGCACAGACAGCGAGGGCACGGATATTATGTCCATCGCTCGTGGCCCAGGCCCTGGCGCTCTGATGTTTCGACCCTTTTCCCAGTGCAGCCATTTCATCCGAGTCGTCCCTCGTCGCCCCAGGTCGTCGAGAATTAAAGAACCCGTAACACGAGTAACACAATGAATACGTAGCCTAATTTAGGTCCCCGTGCTTGCACGAGGGATGGTCATTCTGGGTGGTTCGGCTTGACACATCTGCAGAATCGACCCCCCAGCCCTGATGTCTTAGGCCTCTTAGCTCAGGTCCGCTCCCAACGGGTCAGGGGTCCTCTGCGAATCGCCAGAGGCCGGGCACGGGCAAAAGACGTCCGCCGTGATTTTCTCGACGCGACCAGGGAAGGTCTGGGGCCCTCCATCCGAGCGGTTTGGCCACAGCTCGGGCCTCTGTCGGCGGGCACACCCCGGAGCGCTCTCGGCGCAGCTGCCGGAGAGCACCCCGGGGCGAGCTCGTCGCCCGAACCAGCGAACACAGCCGAAAACTCCAGGGGGCGTCCTAGCAGCTCGAATCGGGTCAACATGGGCCTGTGTGATGCAGGGCTCGACCCAAGCAGTGATTTCCGTTTTCGTTATGACATCGTTTTTTCTTGCCTTCCGTCTTCGTTCCGCCTTGGCTGCAAGACGAACTCAGAACGAAGCTGGTCGGGTCCAGCGACAAGGGGGTGGTGCAATAGGTGTGATACAATAGATTTGTGTGGTTGCAGTACATTTGAGGCGTGCAATACATTCTGGGACGCAAATGCATTGCTGGATTTTCGCGTGCAATGCATTACTTGCAATACAATGCACTTACAAGTCTCCGGCGCAGTACACTTGCAATACACTTGCCCCAAATCTATTGCCCCACCCCCTGTTCAGCTGGACCCCCTTGTTGGGTCACCCAAAACCACGAGATCGCCGAAACGCCGTTTAGGTCGAGCCCTCTGGTGCCCGAGGTGGCCGTCGCCTTCTTGGTGGTGCAGCGGCCCGTGCTGCTGCGCGGCCCCGCCCGCCGCCGTGCGCGCGCCCCTTCCCCGCGTCGGGGCCTCGCCACATGCTCCCAATGAGGGGGGAGGAGGAGGAGGAGGAGGAGGAGGAGGAGGAGGAGGAGGAGGAGGAGGAGGAGGTGGAGGTGGAGGAGGAGGAGGAGGTTGAGGAGGAGGAGGAGGAGGGGGAGGAGGAGGAGGGGGGGGGAGGGAAAGGGACAGGGGGTCCGCGCAGGAGGGCGGAGCGACCCCCCTCGAAGGGTCGGGCTCGACCCTCCGCCGCCTCCTGGGGAGCGCGCGCTCGCGGCCCTCCGCCTCCGCTCGCGGGGCCTCCCAAGGGTGCCTCCAGAAACACCAAGTTCTGCCACCGCCCGAGTCTGGGAGGCCTCCAGATACGACCGGGGAGTTTTGCTTAGCGTGTCGCTCCGCCAGTTATTGACCACCTCCCCATTCCCAGTGATGGGCGTGTTTTCCACCACCACCACCACCATAAGTTGGAGGGGGGGAGGGGGAGGAGGAGGAGGAGGAGGAGGAGGAGGAGGAGGAGGAGGAGGAGGAGGAGGAGGAAGAGGAGGAGGACGAAGAGGATGAGGAGGAGGAGGAGGAGGAGGTTCTCTCCCTCCCCCTCCATCTTATGGTGGTGGTGGTGGTGGTGGAAAACAGGCCCATCTTCATCGTTCTGAGCCTTTCTCAGCCTCCCGCCCCTGCGGAGCGGATCGACACGCTGTCAGCTTGCTGGCCATAGCGCGTCGCCAGGGCCGCCGCCGCGACACTTTGAGCAGCAGTGCCGCCGCGACACACTGAGCTCTTCCTCAGTCTTCCTCAGCCGTGCAGATGTGTCAAGTTTTGCTGCCGCCCCGGGTCCTCACCCCTGGAGATCCCCTGAGGTTCCCGGGCCCAGATTTCCCACGATTTGTTTTTTTCGACCCGCGGTTTCACCTTGATGTCAGCCATCGGGGGCGGTTTTCGGGCCCCGGGGTAGTCACACATTCGACGAAAAGCTATCCCCGGACAAGTGCTGGGAACCTTTGCGGTTGCGCATTGAAAAGAAAACCGCCGATGGATGTCAGGGCAGATCCTTGGGGAGGCCTGCCTGGACATCCGGCGTCTCGACTTTTTCGAGACACAGGCCCCCGACCTCTCGACCACCTCCCCAGAACGTAGTTTTTTGACGGTCCCGAGGAACAGTAGGAGCCCGAGGGGCCGAAATCAATGAAAGCATTCCGTCTCGATTTTGCTCGAGACGCCAGGATGTTTGGGTGCGGATGCTTCAGAGGCTTTGGACGTGCAGCAGCAAGGGTCTTGGACGTGGGTCGAAGTCAACATTTGGCACTCTGGAGTGCTTCAGGGACAAGGTTCGGGGGGGTTCAGGCTTTTAGGGGGGATGGATCGGTCCCCAATCGCCCACTCATCGCCAATCGGGGCCCAATCGGGGCCCAATCGCTTAGCAGAGTGCGGATTCGCTATCGGGGGGATATTGCCGATCTGTTGGCGACGTATCGCCGATTCCAGGCCGATGGTTCTCCCCCTTGAGCCAGTCCCCCTGCAGCAGGCGCGGCGGATATGAGACCTGCCCGCCAGCCAGCAGGTGCCCCAAGGAAGTCTCATATCCCACGATGGCCCTGGGGACCCATACAGTCGGGGCGCTGAAGAAAGAACCCTTTTCGTCGGGGAGGGGCTCGGTGTTCCTTGATTGTTTCGCAGCTTGCTTCAGATCTTTCTCGGGCATTTCCATCGGAAGTCGAAGTTTAGATTATGGAAAACAGGGGCCTCGTTGCTTATTTAGGGTTCCTTAGGTCAACTCCCGACTGTAAGAGTCCCAGGGCACTTCAGGAAGCTCAAATCTCGACGACGGCCGTGCCCTTATATTCTTCGCATTGCAGTTGTTTATCATCGATGCCCGCCATCCGATGGGATGTGTTTGTTTCGTGACGGGGTCTGCTGAGGTACCGACTCGTTCAGCCAGAGTCGTTGTCTGACACTCCCACCCATCCTGTGTTGAGTTGGGTCCTCGTTCTGAAGAGACAGCACTCGGCGTCCTCCGTTTCTCCTTCCTCCTCCTCCTCCTCCTCCTCCTCCTCCTCCTCCTCCTCCTCCTCCTCCTCCTCCTCTCTCCTCCCACCCTTGCCCCTGCCTTCCGCATGTCCTCATTACCATCATCATCGTCGTCAGCATCGTCATCATTGTCGTCATCATCGTCGTCGTGATTACCATCAACATCCACATTACCAGCATGATCATCACGAGCGTCATCGTAATCATAATCACACTCATCATCAAGAGCAGCAGCAACACCAGCATCAGCACCAGCATCAGCATCTACATCCTCCTCATTCCCATCATCATCATCATCATCATCATCATCATCATCATCATCATCATCACCAGCATCATCAGCATCATCATACTCATCAGCATCATCACCATCGTCATCATTACCATCAGCATCATCATGAGCATCATCACCATCATCCTCATCATCATCACCATCACCATAATCCTTCCCCTCCTCATCATCATTATCCTCATCATCATCCTCATCCTCATCCACCTCATCCTCACCATCATCACCACCACCATCATCAGCATCATCATCAGCATCGTCATCATAATCATCACCATCACCACCAGCATCAGCACCATCATTATCATCATCGTCATCGTCGTCGTCATCATCATCATCATCATCAGCATTATCATCATCATCATCATCATCATCATCATCTGAATGATCATCCTCACCATAATCATCACCATTATCACCATCAGCGTCATCATGATCATCATCACCACCATCCTCATCATCCTCAACATCAACACCATCATAGCCGTCAGCATCGTCACCATCTTCGACATCATTAGCATCGTCATCGTCATCACCACCATCAGCACCATCACCATGAGTATCATCATCATCATCATCATCATCATCATCATCATCATCATCATCATGAGTATCATCATCATCATCATCATCAGCATCATCATCATACTCATCATCATCATCATCATCATCACCATCATCGCCGTCATGTCCCCTTCGGTTTTCACTCGTCTGGTTTTTGTGGACATAGGGCGCTCCACCTATGGCCCCAATGGCTGTGCCCGCACTCCACCCCGTCTTTTTGGGACACCCCTCAGACGTTCGTGGCCCCATTGGGAGCTACACTTAAGGTCCCATTGGCTGCGTTCGCATGCCGCCACCCCCCTCACTTCGGCACACCCTTCACATTCTTTGTGGCCCCCAGTGGGAGCTCCGACTGTGGCCCCAATGGTTGCGCCCGCATGCCGTCATCCCCTCATTTTGGCACAACCCTCACACGTTTCGTGGCCCCATCGAGAGTTACACCAAAGGACCTTGTTCGCATGCCGCCACCGCCCTCACTTTGGCATACCCTCAGACGTTTCGTTTGTGGCCCCATAGGGAGCTCGACCCAAGGCCCCAGTGGCTGTGTTCGTATGCCGCCGCCACCCCCGTTCACTTTGGCATACTTTTCACACGTTTCGTGGCCCCATCGGGAGTTACACCTAAGGATCTTGTGGCTGCGTTCGCATGCCGCCACCCCGATCACTTTGGCGCACCCTTCATTCGTTTCGTGGCCCCATGTGGAGCTCCACCTGAGACCCCAGTGGCTACGCCCGCATGTTTTCTCCCGCTTCTCTGGGTGCCTGTCAGCCGCAATGGATTGCATCAGCATGTAACCAGCTTCGTCTGACCTCCGCGCCCTCTTCGGGCGGCCCCAGCGGCAGCGCTCGCATGCCCCGCCCCATTTCGGCGCTCCCTTCACGCGTTTCGTGGCCCCGTATGGGGGATCCGCCTGGAGGCGTTTCTTACAACGGCGGCACTCACAACTGCAAATGGTTGGGTCCTTCTCCAGGATCTCTTTCAATACGTTGGAGGTCGGGGTATGTGTCTACTGAGTTGTTTCTCCTCGCAGGTGCGGCCCCACAGCCCTGCAAGAGGGCGAGGGAGGGGCATAAGGGACGAGCGCGCGGCGGCGGAGGTGAGCTCCAGAGCGTCCTCAGGGGCAAGAGGCGCCGCCCTGCCTCCCGCGCGGGCCCTCTCTCTCTCTCTCTCTCTCTCCCCCCCCCCTCGCTCCTCCCTCGGCCCACCTCCCCCCTCCTCCTCCAGCTCTTCCTCCTTTTCCTCCTCCTCCTCCTCCTCCTCCTCCTCCTTGTCCTTCTTATCCTCCTCCTTCACTTCCTCTTGCGCCCCCCAGAGAACAGGCTTCGGACTTGTCTGGAGCTTGCGGGGAAGGCCTCCTCCTGGTGAGGCCTCCTGGGCGAGACCCCTGGGCGTGCAGCTGCCTCCTTCATGGCGAGAGGCCCAGTTCCTCCTCCTCTCTCCTCCCTCCCCCACCTCCATTTTCCCTCGGCACCATCTTTTGTTTCGGCCCGCTGTTGTATTGTGCAGGCGCTGTGCTTCCTACGCTCAGTCTGCTTGGTCCAGCAGTCTCTCACTCTGCCATGTATCAGAGAACTCCTAGAAATTCCTCCTCTCCTTCCTCCTCCTCCTCCTCCTCCTCCTCCTCCTCCTCCCCCTCCTCCCCCTCCTCCTCCTCCTCCTCCTGATCCCCCTCCTCCTCCTCCGCCTCCTCCTCCTCCTCCTCCTCCTCCTCCACTCTCCCCGCGGCGTCTGTCGTGTGCTGGGGACGTGTAGGCGGGGAGGCCCGTCGGGTGGACGAGTGAAACTTGTATCGGCGCCGGTGTGTGTTGGGTCAGGGGGTTCTGTTCCTGGCCTGGGGTGCACTTGCGTCGTGGGCATGGCCAAAGGGTTCCGAAGGGATCTGTCATACGGCGTGCTCAGCAGCACGATGTCCATGTCGTGGCTGTCGGGGGAGACAAACCAGGGCCGGCGCCGCGCGACTGGCAGCGACTGGGCGTCACGCGGGCACGAGAGGCCCGCGAACATCGATCGGTACATGATGGCCACGCGGCCCGCCAGCGTCAGTAGAGCCGAACGCGACACAGGGCTCAACGCGACACCAAAGGGTCCCTCCTCTATCCTTCCTCCTCTCTCCCTCCCTCCTTCCTTCTTCCGCCCTCCACCCTCCCTCCCTCCCTCGCCCCCTCCTCCGTTCTGATATGCAGCAGCTCGCGCCACGAGGCCCGTGACATGGAGGGAGGGCCGCGACGGAAGTCAAATCGAGGCGAGTCCTCCTCCCTCCTCTTTCTCCTCCTCCTCCTCCTCCTCCTCCTCCTCCTCCTCCTGCGTCTCCTCCTCCTCCTCCTCCTCCTCCTCCTCCTCGTCCTCCTGCGTCTCCTCCTCCTCCTCCTCCTCCTCCTCCTCCTCCTCCTCCACCTCCTCTGTAGCCCTCTAGAGGGCAGGCTTTGGACTTGTCTGGAGCTTGCGGGGATGGCCTCTCCCTGGTGAAGCCTCCTGGGTAAGACCCTGGGGCGTGCAGCGTCCTCTTCCCGGCGACAAGCCCGATTCCGACGCGCCAGATACTGGACTGCTCGGTTTGAGGCCCGTCCGCAACAGTTTTCCTCCTCCCAGAGCTCCTCGCGTCGGCTGCCTGTGTCCGTGATGAAAACCCTCGTGTCTCCTGAGGTCTTCAGTCTCCCCCCCCCAGGGTCCATTTCGCTCCAATCGGCTCTGATTGGCGGGAAATCCGATGCGGCCCGATGCTCGCACGGTGCCGTTATGCATCCCGGCACTTCCGATTCGATTCGACTCCGACGCCGAGCCGATGCGGTCTGGTTCGATGCACGTTTCTCTCCTCTTGCTTCACCTTGGGGGCGCCTTGCGGGCTTTGCACCCCGTGCGATGGGATTGGAGGTGTTCTCTACCGCTGCACTGAACAATCCCCACCACTCCTGGCGAAGTGCGTTCGACGCCAGGGGGGGCGCCACGTCATCGGGTGGTGCGAAGTGTCTGAGGGCGGGACGTGGTGGGCATCGACGGGCACCATCAGGCTTTCAATCATCAGATGTAGGCACCACGGGTCTACCAGCACCAATGGAGCTACACCACGTCCTCTACCCAGCACGGCTTCATGCAACACCCATGGAACCTTTCACAACGCAGCCTCTCTCCGATCCGATCTCCCGCTTCGATGCTGCCTGTTCCTGTCCCTGCGAGGCAAGCAGGCACCATCTCCCCGTCGCAGCGCAGCGGCGAGCACTCCGCGCCCTCGAGCGCGCCGGGCTCCCCCATTGGCTTCCAGGCCGACCCCCGCGGGCGCCTCGCCGCCGTCGTCTCGGCCGACGTCGTTCTCGACGTCGTCAACGTCGATCACTGAGGCACAGCCCCCGCCCTTGAGATCTTAGAGTTACCTTGCCCATCAGTGTTCAGGCCGTCTCTTGATACGAAGGAGGCGCATTTGGTGTTTTTATCTGCCCGTGTCTTGATGTTCTTTCGCAAGTCCCTGGTGCTCAGTGTGCCCTGGAAGCGGCAGTGTCGTATTTCACCGTGTTCGAATAAGTGTCTCTTGGAATTTGAGGAAACGGCACAAAAGCGGCGACCAGAAACGGCAACAAAACGGCTCCGGGATTGGAACCGGAACCAGAGCCGGAAGAAAAAGGCGACGGAACCGGTACATAAACGGCGACGGAACCGGCGAGATAATGGCGAAGCGGAAGTATTAAAAAAGCGGAGGCCCACTGAGTCTTGGTGGTGCCGCAGGCGGGCCTCAGTGTTTCTCGAACAAGGCGGGGCGTCGGATCCCAAGACCGCCGCTGCACGCACTGCACTTCCAGGGCCGCGCGGCGGAGGGTGGAAGGGGCATTATATATATATATATATATATATATATATATATATATATATATCGGAGTAGGGCCCCGGGGCGGTGCCTGTCATCTCCATGGGGTGTGCAGGGCGCCCCCGGGAGCGTCCGAAGCGTCCCGGAGGGCCCCTGGGACCGCCAGGAACAGTTCGAGACCGCCCAAGACGGCCCGCGAGCGCTCCAAGACGCGCATACATAGCCTCAGGAATGGCCAGGAAGGCCCGAAGACGTTCCAAGAGAGCTCCATGAGGCCCCGAAGGCATCCCAAGAGGCCTCCCAAGAGAGCCCCGACAAGCCAAAATCGTGATTTTTATTGTTTTTTTAGGTTTTTGGCCTTCTCGCTTTTTCGGAGTTCCGACGCTCCAAGACCGTCCAAGAGTCTCCCAAAACCGCTCCAAGACGGCCGAAGAGGCCCCCAAGACCGCCCCAAGACGGCCCAAGAGACCCCCAAAATCGTCCCAAGACGGCCCAGGAGAGCCCCAAGATGGCCCAGGAGCCGCCCAAGACGGTTCCAGGAGAGCCCCGACAGGGCTTCAAGACTGCCTAAGCGAGCCCAGCGGGCCCCAAGAGGGCCCCGCGAGGCCCCAAGAGGCCCCAAAGAGGCCCCCAAGAGCCTCCCCGGAGGCCCCCAGAGGCCCCCAAGATGCCCAAAAATGGCCCTGAGCGCGCCCCAAGACGCCTCCAGGAGAGCCCAACAGGCCTCCGAGAGGCCCCCAAGAGGCCCACTGGAGGCCCTCAGGAGGTCGTCCCCATCATGTTCCCGGAAGGCGGTCCGGGAACATGATTCCGCGCCTTGGAGGAGTATTCTGCGCTTTCCGAGGCGCCTTCCGAGGCGCCCTGGACGACGTACGTATGTTTCTATAGATTGTCCATCTCCTGTGTACACAATCCTACATGTCTTACGTATTTCTCTCTCTCTATATATATATATGTATATATATACATACATATATATATATATATACACACACCCCTCCCCCAAGCCCTCCCGAGTCGTGCCACTTCCTTCCACGTATTTCAATTCTTCCTATATATATATATATATATATATATATATACGCGCCCCAAGACGCCTCCAGGAGAGCCCAACAGGCCTCCGAGAGGCCCCCAAGAGGCCCACTGGAGGCCCTCAGGAGGTCGTCCCCATCATGTTCCCGGAAGGCGGTCCGGGAACATGATTCCGCGCCTTGGAGGAGTATTCTGCGCTTTCCGAGGCGCCTTCCGAGGCGCCTTGGACGACGTACGTATGTTTCTATAGATTGTCCTTCTCCTGTGTACACAGTCCTACATGTCTTACGTATGTTTCATATATATATATGTAATGTATGTTGTGGCGATATATATATATATATAATATATATATATATTATATATATATATACATACATACATACATACATACATACATACATACCCCTCCCCCAAGCCCTCCCGAGTCGTGCCACTTCCTTCCACGTATTTCAATTTCATCCGTGTATATATATATATATATATATGTCTATATATATATAGGCCGTCCAAGAGTCCCAAAACCGCTCCAAGACGGCCGAAGAGGCCCCCAAGACCGCCCCATGACGGCCCAAAAGACCCCCCAAATCGTCCCAAGACGGCCCAGGAGAGCCCCAAGATGGCCCAGGAGCCGCCCAAAACGGTTCCAGGAGAGCCCCGACAGGGCTTCAAAACTGCCTAAGCGAGCCCAGCGGGCCCCAATAGGGCCCCGCGAGCCCCCAAGAGGCCCCAAAGAGGCCCCCAAGAGCCTCCCTGGAGGCCCCCGAGAGGCCCCCAAGATGCCCAAAAATTGCCCTGAACGCGCCCCAAGACGTTTCCAGGAGAGCCCAACAGGCCTCCGAGAGGCCCCCAAGAGGCCCACTGGAGGCCCTCAGGAGGTCGTCCCCATCATGTTCCCGGAAGGCGGTCCGGGAACATGATTCCGCGCCTTGGAGGAGTATTCTGCGCCTTCCGAGGCGCTTTCCGAGGCGCCTTGGACGACGTACGTATGTTTCTATAGCTTGTCCTTCTCCTGTGTACACAATCCTACATGTCTTACGTATGTTTCCATATGTATATATATATATATATATATATATGTATGTATGTATGCATGCATGCATGCATGTCTGTATGTATATATGCATGTATGTATGTATGTATGTATGTATGTATGTATGTAAGTATGTATGTATGTATGTATGTATGTATGTATGTATGTATGTATGTATGTATGTATGTATGTATGTATGTATGTATGTATGTATGTATGTATGTATGTATGTGTGTGTGTGTGTGTGTGTGTGTGTGTGTGTGTGTATGTATGTGTGTATATGTATATATGTATATATGTATATTTGTATATGTGTGTATATATGTATATATATATATATATATATATATACACACATCGGAGTCGGGCCCGGGGGCGGCCCGGGGCGGTGCCTGTAATCTCCATGGGGGGTGCATGGCGCCCCCGGGAGCGTCCGAAGCGTCCCGGAGGGCCCCTGGGACCGCCAGGAACAGATCGAGACCGCCGAAAACGGCCCGCGAGCGCTCCAAGACGCGCATACATAGCCTCAGGAATGGCCAGGAAACCCCGAAGACGTTCCAAGAGAGCTCCATGAGGCCCCGAAGGCATCCCAAGAGGCCTCCCAAGAGAGCCGCGACAAGCCAAAATCGTTGATTTTTTTTGTTTTTTTTTCCGAGGCTTTGGGCCTTCTCGGTTTTTCGGAGTTCCGACGCTCTAAGACCGTCCAAGAGTCTCCCAAAACCGCTCCAAGACGGCCGAAGAGGCCCCCAAGACCGCGCCAAGATGGCCCAAGAGACCCCCCAAATCGTCCCAAGACGGCCCAGGAGAGCCCCAAGATGGCCCAGGAGCCGCCCAAGACGGTTCCAGGAGAGCCCCGACAGGGCTTCAAGACTGCTTAAGCGAGCCCAGCGGGCCCCAAGCCCCGCGAGGCCCCAAGAGGCCCCAAAGAGGCCCCCAAGAGCCTCCCCGGAGGCCCCCAAGAGGCCCCCAAGATGCCCAAAAATGGCCCTGAGCGCGCCCCAAGACGCCTCCAGGAGAGCCCAACAGGCCTCCGAGAGGCCCCCAAGAGGCCCACTGGAGGCCCTCAGGAGGTCGTCCCCATCATGTTCTCCGAAGGCGGTCCGGGAACATGATTCCGCGCCTTGGAGGAGTATTCTGCGCCTTCCGAGGCGCCTTGGACGAAGTACGATTCATATTCTTGAACGCTTTCCGGGAACATGATTTCTCACCATTTCGGAACGCTTTCCTACTGCTGCGGTGCTCTGGGGGGAAGGGGCGGGGGTCCGGGAACATGATCGGGAGGTTAGGGAACGAGGGTTTGGAGAGGAGCAGTAGGACAGACGGACGGGGCCCGGGGGCGGGGGTGGGGTGGTGCCACCGGTTGGCATGGCCGCCCCGGGCGTCCTGTGGGGTCCACGAACCCGCCCAAGACGGCCCATGAGGCCCCAAAGACAGCCCAAGAGACCCACGAGGCCCTAGAGGGCCCCAAGACGTCCAAGAGCGCCTCAACAGCGCCCGAGATGGCTTGAAGATGGCCGAAGAGGGCCCCAAGAGGGTCTTCAAGATGCAAACACCGGCCCATTCCCATTCGTGAAGCATGCATATTCAGCATACTCGTTTGCTTGGTCTTCACAGTGCCCCAGACGCCCCCGAGCCCCAAGACAGCCCAAGAGAGACCCAAGAGGGCCCACGACGGCCCAAACGGGTCGTCCTGTGAGGCTCACGGAACCCCCCAAAGACGGCCCAAGAGGCCCCAAAGCCGGCCCAGGAGGCCCACAAATCCTGGCGCTTGCACTCGCCTCGCACGGCCCTGGGGGGGGGGGAGGAGGAAGCCTCCCCCAGGAGCGGAGGGTGCGGACCCGACCCAACTGCCCCGCAGCGCGCGGCCTCTCCGAGGCCAAGCGGGCAGACGCCGGTCGGGCCCGTGGGGGAGCACCACCCCCCCCCCACACCCCCAGGGCGGGTAGGGCGGGCCAACGACAGCTCGTGGTCACTATGGACCAGAAGAGAGGGCCCCATTGGGCACGTGAACGCAGCAGGCCGCTATGGGCCGCAACGAAGCCACTATGGGCCGCAAGGAAGCCACTATGGGCCGAGCGAAGCCCCCAGAGGGCGGAGGGCCGAAACCCGACACACGGCACGGTATTTATATCCCGCCCCAGTGCCAGGCGGAGGAAGCACGGCACGGCACTGCACCACACGACGCGAGCGGGAGGCGGAAGAGGGTCGACCAGCGCGCGGCCGACCAGCCGAGCGAGGGCGCCCCCGCGGCCAGCCGCGGGGTCGTTCACAGCGCGGGCGGATTTGTGCCAAGCAATAACTTCGTTATTCCGACCCCACAAATCCTGGCGCTTGCACTCGCCTCGCACGGCCCTGGGGGGGGGGGAGGAGGAAGCCTCCCCCAGGAGCGGAGGGTGCG